AGGCAGGTGAGGGAACCTGAGGCAGAGTCCTGAAGAAACAACAGGGAGAAGCCACCCCAAAACTGGACTAGACTCCAGAGCCTAGTCACTGGGTCCCAAGATCTGCAGACTGAGTGGTAACTGCTGGAGAGGGAACTATCAACTCCCTTGGTGACAAGAACCGCAGCCAGCAGAGAAACTGACCAGACTTTCTAGCGCCTGGGCAGAGACGTGCTCCAGGGCAGCCTCTGCAGAATAGCAGAACTGATCTTGAGACTAGGTGTTATCTCTGCATTGTGTTGGGGTTGCTCCTTGCAACCTTAGAGAACATTGCCCCCAGTGAACAAGCCCTGGTGGTTAATGACAGATGTAGAAGATCCACCCTCCACCCTGAGCCAACTGCTGGGCAATAGATGCAGACAGAAAAACTGCCAAGAAGGAGGCTGGTGAGTATTTAACTGACTTTCCCCCCGCCCGACTCCCACAGCAATAAGTGAAAGAGATTGGGAGGGCAGAGACAGAAGGCCCTATTCCCCTGCAGTGAACTGGGCACCCTGGGAGCTGTGACCATGCTGGGAGAGAAAGGAAGGGGATGAGATCCTGAGAAATGCTGTGTCAAGTTATTTCAGCCCCCTTCTCTCACACGGACATGTGACAGCTACCAATTGCAGGCAGCAGGAGAATAAGATTCTAACATCTTAAGTTTCAACAGCGAATATGGAACCTGCAGTAACAGCTCTGCAGTCACAGAACCCATCATAAGAGGAAGCCCTGCCCCTCAAAGAGACATACTAAAGCTGAGAACACTTTATCAGCTTTTTTTTTTTTTTTGGTTTTTTTGGGGGGTGGTATTGGTCTGTTTATTTCGTTTGGTTGCTTTGTTTGTTAGTTGGTTTTCTCTTTTCTTTTTTTTGAGTTGGAGTCTCATTCTGTCACCCAGACTGGAGTGTAGTGGCTGTTCCCAGCCACCACAGCCTCGCCTGCTGGGCTCCAGCGATCCTTCCACCTCAGCCTTCCAAGTAGCCAGAATTACAGGCATGTGCTACTACGCCCGGCTGAGTTTTTGATTTATTATAGAGATGAGGTCTCGCTGCCCAGGCGGGTCTCGAACCCATGGGCTCAGGAAATCCACTCACCTCAGCCTCCCAAAGGTGCGGGATTACAGGCTGAGCCACCGAGCCCGGCTGGTTTTCTCTTTTCTTGCCTTCCCCTATTTCCCTTTCTTTGTTCTTTCTTTGGTTTTCTCTTTTCTTGCCTTCCCCTATTTCTCTTTCTTTGTTCTCTTTCTTTCTTTTTGTATGGTTTCTTTCTTTTTTCTTTTTATATTTTTCTTTCTTCTTTTTCTCTGTCTCCTCCTTTCTCTTTTTTCTCTCTTTTCCCTCTTATACCCTGTCTTGGACTCAGGGTCTATGCAAGCATACCCACTGTAAGGTCATATTGTGCAGAGATGAAGAGTGAGTCCCAGGTGGCCCATTCACCAGATAGCAAACATTATGACCTGCCAATAGGTTCAGAATACTTGCAGCCCCCTCCACCCCTTAGTAAGTGCTCAAAATTGAAAAGAGACAGAACAATGCCCCACCTCCAGTCCTACTTCATAATTGAACAAACTCAGAGCCCTGGCTCAAGGAAGGAAAAAAGGTAGAGCAAATATCAAAAGTAACTTCATCTCCATTTTCCACTGAGAAAAAGAATTAAAGAGAAAGATAATAGGACTGCTACAAATGAAGAAAACCCAATAAAAAAACTGTCAGTAACCTTCAGAGTCCCAGCAAAGAGTTAGTGCTAGAAAGAACAGCTACTGGGGCACAAACAATGGCTATCTCTGAGAACGACAGTACTCAGAAGGTACTTATGAAGATCAGAGAATTACTGGATAGAAAGAATAAAAATCAAGAAATGCAAAACTAAATGAAATTGCAATGGAGCTAGACAGACTCAAGAAAGCAAATATAAAGAACTCCATCCAAGAAAAAATAACAAACTGAAAAGCATGGGAAGCAGAACTGACGAAGCAGAAGAATGAATCTCAGAGCTAGAAAACCAAAATAAGAAATTAACCCAATCTATTAAAAATATTTTTAAAAGCCAGGCTCGGTGGCTCAGCCTGTAATCCTATGCCTTTGGGAGGCTGAGGTGAGTAGATTGCCTGAGCCCGCGGGTTCGAGACCCGCCTGGGCAGTGAGACCTCATCTCTACAATAAATCAAAAAATCAGCCGGATATGGTAGCGCATGCCTATAATTCCGGCTACTTGGAAGGTTGAGGCAGAAGGATCGCCGGAGCCCAGCAGGTCGAGGCTACAGTGGCCAGGAGCAGCCACTGCACTCCAATCTGGGCGACAGAGTGAGACTCCAACTCAATATATATATATATTTTTTTTTTTTTTTAAACTTAAGAAAAAAGAGGAAACTCTCCAAGAGAAATGCGATTTTATCAAGAAAACATACCTATGTCTGATTGAAACACCTGAAATAGAGAAACAAAAAAAACCATAGAACAAACATTCCATGAGGTCATTCAAGAAAACTTCCCTCATCTGGTCAGAGAGACAACTATAGAAGCACAAGAGATCCAGAGAACCCCTAAAAGACATCTTATGAGAAGACCAACCCCTAGACCCATGATAATTCACCTACAAATTAGGCATAAAAGAAAACGTCCTAAAGGCAGCAAGGGAAAAATGTCAGACTACCTACCAGGGGAGACCGATCAGAATTACTGCAGACTTATCTGCAGAAACAATACAGGACAAAAGGAATTGGACTTCAATCTTTGTTTGTTTGTTTTTTTTTTTCTTTTGAGTTGGAGTCTCACTCTGTCGCCCAGACTGGAGTGCAGTGGCCACTCCCGGCCACCGCAGGCTCAACCTGCTGGGTTCTGGCGATCCTTCCGCCTCAGCCTTCCAAGTAGCTGGAACTACAGGCACGTGCTACCACGCCTGGCCAATTTTTGGTTTATTGTAGAGATGAGGTCTTGCCAAGTTGCCCAAGCGGGTCTCGAACCCACGGGCTCAGGCAATCCACTCACCTCAGCCTCCCAAAGTGCAGGATTACAGGTTGAGCCACCGAGCCCAGCTAGACCTCAATCTTTAATGTTCTCAAGGATAAACAATTTCAACCAAGAATTTCATACCCAGCCAAGCTAAACTCATCAGCAATGAAGAATTAAAATCCTTCCCAGACATCCAATCCCTAAGAGAATATGCTGCTTTGAGACCAGCTCTACAGGAGACACTTAAAAATGTGCTATGACAAGAATACCTGCATAATGAACATTTGTAGACCTAACCCTGAATTGTACCCCACAGCTTTAAAATAAAAAATTGGAAAAAAAGGTGCTGCACAGAAGAAAAAAAAAACAAAAGAAAGATCATATACTTCACAAGATCACAAGCACAGAAGCAGCAGAACACACAGCATACCTGCAAAAGTAAAAACACACACACATATATGAACACAAAAGTTAAATGAAACAAAACAGCCATATAAGAGCATTATGTCAGGGACAAACTCTCATATTTCAATAATCAGCCAGAACATGAATGGACTAAATGCACCACTGAAAAGACAAAGAATGGCAAACTGGATAAAAACACATGACCCAGTAGTTTGCTGCCTCCAGGAAACTCATCTCACCACAAAGGACGCCTAAAGACTCAAAGTTAGAGGATGGAAAACAAATTTTCAGGCAAACAGATCACAAAAGAAGGCAAGAGTCATGATCTTAATATCAGACAAAACAACCTTTAAGCTATCAAAAATTTAAAAAGATATAAAAGGACACTACATAATGATAAAAGGTTCAATTCATCAACAAGAAATATCCATCCTAAACAAATATGCACCCAACACAGGAGCTCCAGCTTTTATAAAGTAGCTACTAAGTAAACTAAAAAAAGATGTTGACTCAAACACTATCATAGATGGGGACTTAAATACCTCACTAACTACCCCAGATAGATCATCAAGGCAAATAATTAACAGATATCCAGAACCTCAACTTGATGCTTGACCAAATGGACTTTGTAGATACTTACAGAACACTCTGCCCAACAACCACAGAATATACATTCTACTCATCACCATGGAACATACTCCAAGACTGACCACATCCTTGGCCATAAATCAAGCATAAACAAATTTCACAAGATTGAAATATTGCCATGCACCTTTTCAGACCACAGTGGAATAAAAATAAATATCACCACCAAAAAGTTTTCCCAAAACCAACAAAGACATAGACACTAAACAGCATGATGCTGAACAATTCCTGGGTCAATACAGAAATCAAAACAGAAATTAAAAGATTCCTGGAAACAAATGAAAATGAATAAATATCTTATTAGATATTAGATATCAATATTAGAAAGCAGACTCGAAATTGACAAATTCAACTGATAGGATTGAGTCCTAGTACAGAAATGCAGATAATAACATTAAGTGTTCAGGATAGAGTAAACATATATATTTTATACATGCCCAAATGAATGATAAGCTATGAAGCAAAATAAGTTTAGTTGGGATAACAAATATTATCTTTCTTGTCTTCCTAATTCCTTACAAGGAACTTACATTATTTTCTAATGAGAAAAATTAATAATAAAAATTAACAAGCATAACTATAATTTTGTTTGTATGAATATTAAGAAATATACTAATAGTGCCCAGAAAATCAGAACAGAATGCTTGTGCCTGAGTTCCCCTAGTTTGTGAGGATGTGTATGAACCTATAAGAGGCTTGTCACTGTCACTGTGAACTGTCTGGGCTGCAGTTTGGGGAGCTTTGGGGTCTATAGGTCACTTGTACAGAAGCAGAACATCCTGTGTTTATCACCCTCATCCAGGATCCCATTCCTGAGAAGTATCACCAATCTGTTCCTATCCAAAGAGTCAACCAATTGCCTCTTTATCCATGGTCCATGACACTATTTGGAAACTTCTTAACGAGAAACTATAAAAAACATCTTATTTGGCACTAAGCAAGTTTCTTAAAAAATAATAAACCAACTTAAACTCCTACCTAGATAGGGAATACTTGGAACCATCTTCAGGCTTCGAATATACTCCCGAGTCCGCTTGTAATTATCTTCTTTAGACATCAGATAGTCTAATTTCTCAAAGGTGGTCTTGTCTTTTCTATTCAAAAGCTGGAATGAGAAAAAAATATAGAGTATGAGAGAGAAAAGAAATACTCTGGAAGAACCTAAGGAGAGAGGATAACTGTGGACAAAGACTGAAAGGAAACATCCTAAATGGCATGTCTACGGTGCACCAATCCTGGGCACAACTAAGGATTTTAAAAGGCTGTTTCAGAGATGAAATGTTTCACAACCTCAGTCTTGTCATTTCCATATAATCTCATATAGCAGCAACCTCTGTGGGTGCAGAGACCCTACAATAGCAAGGCAATCAAAGAGAAAAGCAAACTGCTCAGGGTCAACTGAAGAGTTATTTCACAGCTACACCAAGTCTCCTTCCTTGAATCCACAAATATTTGCTTTCTCCTCAACATTTCCAAGGCTGAAGGCCCCAGTAAGTTTCACACAATTCACATATACATGTTGTGCACACAGCCAGGCCATCACTCTAATTCAGGCTATCTCCTCCAGATTCCCCACAACCCCACTGGGTCATATTTACACTGGGTGTGATATTTTAAACAAAAGAAGCCAACTTTCTTTTCCATATGCAACCATTGAAGAGGCAACTTAGTTAAGCACTGACAGGATGAGCAGGTATCCACAGCCAGAGATTAGATAAGCAAGATTCTTTGTGACTGAGATATCTGGTATATAAAGCTGGTCACCAGGAAAAAGGTAGCTCAATGTATATATGGAGCCCTGTCAAAAGGAAAAAATAAAAAGTTAACTCCTGCCGGGTTTGGTGGCTCAGCCTGTAATCCCAGAACTTTGGGAGGCTGAGGCGAGTGGATTGCCTGAGCCCACGTGTTCGGGACCAGCTTGGGCAACTTGGCGAGACCTCATCTCTACAGTAAATCAAAAAATTAGCCAGGCATGGTAGTGTGTGCCTGTAGTTCCAGCTACTTGGAAGGCTGAGGTGGAAGGATTGCCGGAGCCCAGCAGGTTGACGCTGGGGTGACCATGAGTGTGCTACTATACTCCAGCCTGGGCAACAAAATGAGACTCCAACTCAAAAAAAAGAAAGTTAACTCCTGGTTTTCAAGACTACCACTGTAGTCATCCTGCATGTCCCAAGTAAAGGCCTAGTACCCAAAAATGGCCATAAGCCTCCTTGAATACAAAGGTTTTCAGAAAAGGAGTCTAGGCAGAGACAGGTTTTGAAAGGAGAAACTGGGGAGAGATGGCCTTGGCACAGCATGAGACTGATGCTGGGAGCTCCCCTGAAGGGTCCTCTTAGCTGCCAGGACCAAATGCTTCTGGAATTGGAGGTCAATGGCTAAGACCAAGATGTAAATAAAGAGAAACCCCAGGCCTGGAGCACTCTTGGTCAAGCTTGGTGTTGAGACATCAAAGGTCTGTAAGGACCTAGACCAACAGATCCAACATATCTATCAGACTGACATAAGCCAGTGTTCAGGTCCACCACGCATCAGGGAGAAGCAGACAATGACTGCCCAGCATCAGGGGAAGCAGTGTAGTTCCTGAGACTGGAGTCTGCAGATCCCAGACTCAGGCCATGTTGGTGTATCAGGGAGCCCCAGGCTACTTTGGTCAAGCCCTGTCTGATTCATCCATCCCTAGCCTCTGGAGCCACAGAGAATACAGCCATGAGACAGCCTATTGCATATGAGCAGTGACAGCTTAAGAAATTCAGGGAGAAGAGGTAAAATAATATGCTGAAAAGAAGCTTCCAGTGCTGAAGACATTGGAGAATGAAAGCAAATTTTCCCACTGAAAATTTCAGGACACATCACTGTGGGGATGCTACACAAATGCCCCAAACAGTGGTTGCTGAACTGGTTTGCTAAAATGAACAGGAATAAATGCCATCTTCTACTTGCTGTCTGTAAAGCACTATAATATACAACTTTTCTGATCTTTACAAAGTCCAGTGGTAAAAATGGAGCCAGGGCTATTGCCTCCATTTCAGGTTCATAATAAAGTATTAAATGATTTGCCCAAATAACCTTGAGGAACTCAATTCAATAGAGGAGGTATACATATTATAACATTGTAAGTAAATAGCCCAGACAAAATAAATGAATTACAGGCATGGGAAGTACCAAGGAAAGCTTTATAGAAAGGCAGAACTTGAAATGAACACTTAAGGATGAGAAATTCACCAAATGAACAATATATAACCAGATCAGAACCAGACACCTAGTTGCAAACTACCCAATTATTCATATTTTTATTAATGCAACCTAGAACACTTTTACTTCTTTGGTAATGCCAGCAGTCAAACAAATCTAGATATCCTCCTCACACGCACCGTGGCTGAGTCACGCAGGCTCCCAGTGCTCAGGTTGCTGATTCTCTGATCCTAGCTGGGACATTACCCATGTACCCTGCCATGTTTAGCCTACCTGCCCAGCCTGCCTAGTACCTATATAGACAGCGCCTCAGTGAGGATTGGTATGTCATCTGTATACAACCCTGCACTCACACATACTCACACACACATTCAGAAGGGCTGGATCTGGTTAACTTCGCTCACCTGCTTCCCTCAGTGCCCACAAATGATATTCATTAAAGCATCAGATTTCTCAAGAATAATGCATAGGTCACTACAAGACATGACAAAACTCAGAACATATATCTCCTATGATGTATTTGAAAACTACTTGAGGAATTCCTCTAGCAAAATGAAGGAATAAACCAGGAGCAGCAAGACATGGGATACAGGAAATGGGATCAAATCCAGGAGTAGTAAAGGGAGATTCTGGAATGACTATGAACAGCATGCTTTAAGAACAACTGGTCCATATTGGATCATCCCCAGAAGAGACGTCTCCAGAGAAAAAGAAGGCTTGTTAAAAAACCTGATATGATGGCACATGGTAGGAAGGACAAATATTTATTATATATAATAAAAAATAATTTTAAGACTGTGTATGTATGCATGTGTGTGTGTGTGTGTGTGTATGTGTGCGCGCACACATACACACACACACATACACACACACCCCTGGTAGATATGGTACAAATAATTTTTTTAAAAAAGAAGTTAGCAATTCCATGGAAATGAAAAAATATTCAAGAAAGGTCATCTTATTCATAGTTTACTATTTGACTATACAATGAAGCATATCTACTCATTCCTAGTCATTAAAACACTGAATACTCATTTAGCAAGTGACTTAACTATTGCAATGAGTATGTTTGAAGAATGAGGGAAGGTGGTTTAGGAAAAGAAGTCATTAGATGCTGCCTAAAATGGATGGGTCAAGAAACTGTAGCAAAAGTGCATTGGTGAAAATGTGGCAGACACTACCAAAAGAAGCTACTAAATAACTGGAAGTGGTGGAGCATAGAGAGGTGGAATAATGAGTGCCAGTTGTTTATTGAGCCTTTCAGTACTTGGTGATTTTTAAAATTAAAGTGCATGTATTATGCTGATAAAAATTCTTTTAAGATTTATTTTTTTAAGCCGGGCTCAGTGGCTCAGCCTGTAATCCCAGCACTTTGGGAGGCCGAGGCAAGTGGATTGCCTGAGCCTGCGGGTTCAAGACCAGTTCGGGGAACTTGGTGAGATTTCATCTTGACAATAAAAAAAAAAAAATAGCCGGGCATGGTAGCATGTATCTGTAGTTCCAGCTACTTGGAAAGCTGAGGCAGAGGGATCCCTGGAGCCCAGCAGGTCAACACTGGGGTGGCCGTGAGCATGTGTACCACTACACTCCAGCCTGGGTGAAGGAATGAGACTCCAACTCAAAAAAAAAAAGATTTAATTTTTTAAATATAGGACTTGTTTACTCAGAAAATGACAACATTTACTTACACATTTTAAGATTTCATTACAAGTAGAACCATAAACGGCAAACCTCATATGAATTGAGGGTCCTTCAGATTTTAGAGTTTAGAGTTTATGGAAAGCCCCAGGAAGAATCCAGAACTACAGACAAGAAAATCAATGATTTGCTTACCTGGAGTCAAGAAAAGAGGTAAGTAATATTAAAGAAAAGTTCACTGAACATAATAGTCAACTTCACTTTTAGTAAAGTTTTGAAGTCTTGGGGGCACCCTGAGATTTTCTTCCATAATATTTATTACAATTGTAATTGATTGTGTAGTTACATTTGTGTCTCACTCAGCAAATGAGGGATCACATGTAGAAGGGCAGCATGCTAGTTGCATTCACTCAACTATTCCCTGCACCTGGTATGATTCCTGACATAGGAAACACTGCTAAAATATTTGTTGCGTAAAAGAATAGTGAGAAAAACAACAATAACTTAAAAATCCAATTTGTTGGAAATATTGGGATATTCCAGTAATTCTTGAGCACAAGAGTAAATTAAAGTCAGGATTACAGATTATTTACAAACCACAAACAATTAGAATACTATATGTTAAACTATGTGATGAGGTCAAAGCTATATTAGGAAAAAAAATTTGTATTTTTTTTTTTTTTGAGTTGGAGTCTCACTCTGTTGCCCAGGCTACAGTGCAGTGGCACACTCACAGTCATCCCAGTGTTGACCTGCTGGGTTTCAGCGATCCTTCCGCCTCAGCCTTCCAAGTAGCCGGAACTACAGGCGCGCGCTACCATGCCTGGCTAATTTTATTGTAGAGACGAGGTCTTGCCAAGTTGCCCAGGCTGGTCTCAAACCCAGGGACTCTGGCAATCCACTCGCTTCGGCCTCCCAAAGTGCTGGGATTATAGGCTGAGCCATCAAGCCCGGCCAAAAAAATATTTGTAGTTTTAAATTCATTTATAACTAAACAAAAACTAGAATAAATGAACTAAATATTCAACTCATGAATTTAAGAACTCAAGTCACTCTATGAAAAAGATACCTCCACATGCATATTTATTGCAGCATTATTCACAATAGCAAAAATATGAAACTAACCATGCTGCCCATCAAAAGGGAACTGGATTAAAAAAATGTGGTACATGTACACAATGGAATATTATGCAGCCATAAAGAGGGACAAAATGATAAACTTCACATCAACTTAATGGACTTAGAGTCTATAATACTGAGTGATCTATCAAAGAA